GAGGGGTAGTTGTACCGAAATCCCTTGAAGAAAGTGAAAATTGAAATCGGCCGAACGCCACGGATGACGCTGCCCCTCCCTATTTCACCGTCTGAAAGGGAGATGGCACGCTAATAAGCAAGAACCGAAACGCATCCGGCGCATGGTCCTCGTCAGCGCTCTTTATTCAGAAGTTTTAGCGCCACATATCAGCGCTGGCCTCAGCATTTACAACCTTCGTTTTTGGCCCTATAACCCTGAACCTAGTTGCCATAAATCCTAGCGTATTACAATTTTTAGAAGTTTGAAATTATCCATACAGGAAATTGGTTAGCTCGAGGATGAGTATTTGAAGCCGCGTACAAAGTGAGCCGATGGCGGCTAATGTGAGCTAATGGACGAGATACCTCGCGCAACCTCGTGGCCGCAACTTGGATTACGACGTAGCGGCTAATTCAAACACGCGCGGGTTAGTGGAGCCATGGAGCAAGCAGGTTCAGACAGCTCGTCCGATCCCTCATTTTAAAGGGGAAGAGGGGATTCTATGTTCAACACGTTGACGACCGTGTGACATGATGTCACACCACCCCATAATACGTAGCAGACTAGTTTTGCTTGTTTTATTAAACGTTTTTTCGTGTTCTTCGTGTTCCAGAACAGTCTATATACATTATTGGGTCCGAAAAACAATTTGCTCATTACTGATGTTGAAACTCATTGAAGAATCAATGACTGTTGATGAGAAAATACGAAAAAAATGCCGCAATACACGCAACGGCGGTCGTCAATAGGTTAAGGGCTTCGGCGAATTGCCTTGCTTCTTTTCTTCATTTTCAGTCAAGTCTGCATCCACAATCTCCTTATCGACCGTTATTACCCCGAACCTTCCCCACCCCCCCCCCCCCCCCAACTTGATCCTGCTTCAAGTTGTTTGTTGCTTTACGTAGAACAGGCAGCAATATGATATTGCATGACACGGTGCTACGCAAGTACGGTGGGCACACCGTATTTTCCGAACAGAAATGTGTGTAAGTGGGACTGCTGTCCACTACTTTACTGTAACGAGAATCGGGAAATTCGTGAGCCAGGGGGAGTGTGGTAGACAGACTACTTGAACCCGATCCTTCAAGCCCGCAAGCTGCACGAATAGATCTTCTCGGGCTGGCTCCCTTCACTATTTATCAAGCGGTTCATGGAATCCGCATTGGCTGATCCACATACTGGTCCAAGCCACACTGGGGTTAGTTCGCTCACCCCCTCGAAGCTCCTTCCCTCCGCTACAAGGTCTGTGTACTGCCTATGGTCACTCCTTTGCATGGCGATTTTGAGCCGAAGCTAGCGCGCCGGTCCCTGAGCTGTTGGCGCTCCTCCGTCATTTCGTGACTAGGACCATGCGAAGAAAGTGTCAACGTATGTCCGCTTCGGGGGAGTGAGTGCTCCTAGTGCGGTGGGCGTGAAGGCAGTTCACTATGACATTGACCTTTGAAATAGACTGAGCCGTTGCCCACTTCTACCTGTATAGAGCCCATGGCACCATACCTGGTTGACATGCTTGTTCGTCTGTTCCTCTGCTTTGTAATATCTCAACGACCACATTTTTGATGAAGGACTGCGCAGGGGGTTTGTGGACTACTGGCGTTGTTCCTCAACTATCCTACCGCGCAGGGTTTAGAGAAACAGCACGATCCAGAAAACGAGGTAGAACGCCTAGGACTAAACCCTAGAGACGAGAAGGCACCCGACCAGAGAGCGCAGAGGAGGTTCGAAGGGCTGAGTTCAAGTAGTCCTTCTACCGCGCGCGCAGGGGGCTCAAGAAGCGAACAATTGGGTGTGATGCGCGTAATGTGCAACGACACACCTCATCTCACGCCTTTATTTCGGGTTACTGTTGTAGTGCAACTGAATCGGAATTAGCTCAAATCGACTTTACTCCCTTCACATGGAAACAGAACACCCTTGGACCAAAACTTCATACTCCTACAGACCTGCCTGAAAGAGCAAGAGATCGCCCACTCCTTGAAGTTGCACAAAATTATCGCGTAACATGCATCGGATTGGCAACGGAGCAGGGTATCTTTGGGCGGGAAAATTAGAACTCTGCTGTAAGTATTGTTAATTCTCGTCCTCATGTGAAGTGTAGTTGATTTGTAAATTGTATTTTTATGCTATACATGCATATTTTACTGCTTCTAGTGTAACCACTACTTCCTTAAGTTCAGGTTCTTGGGAAACCGAAAAAAGGGAGCAAGACTGACTTTTGAAATGCCTCAACAAAGGAAGCGAAGTACTCCGTTGGCTCCTGATGCTGCTGCGAAGAGGCGTAAAGCAGATGAGCAATTAGTCAATAAGGTACAATACTTGAACTTCCTAAAACTTTTTCCAACTCACAAACCTCGCGTAAAAAAATTAGGGTTTGTGAGGCGTTCCTTCCTTTTGTGGTTATCACCATTCCGATGCAGTCTTTACCCAAAAGCATCATGTTATAAACCTTTCTATCTATTCATAAACTAAATACGTTCATGTTTAGGGGGACTTTGAGGCGCATCTTGAACACCTATCGCAGATTTCTGAAGCTGAGAGCATCTCAGTGACAGAGAGAATTGAGCTTGAAGAAGGTCTTGGTTCGACAAAATCCATCGCTTTCCAGGTAAAATCCGGTTACTTGTCTAGCACTACGTTCCATCTAGGCTTGTACAAGATGCTGACTTTGACTTCTTATTGTTAGTGATTGCTAGAGCTTTACATATTACACAATTTGGAACGGTCTGAAAAATCAAATAAGCTTTAGATGTCTCATTTTGGCGCTCTTAAAGTATGGATTCATGCGGTTTTTTCTATAGTTGAGATTCTAATGATATACGATCTGCTGAAAAACTGAATTATCTGTGGAATTTCTCTCCATTGGTAGCCATGGGTACATGCGGCAGTAATTAGAACTTCATTTAATTTATTAGGTCGGTCCATAAGTCTTGCAACAAACTGGCCGAATTTTGAATTTAATATTTTCATTATCTTTTTGTTCCATTCATCCGGCATGCTACCCTCCATCAATATCTACAACCTATTGCCAACACACTAGTAGCTGCTCGATGCCTCCCTTGTAGGACTCTACTGAATTCTTATTAACTTCGTATTTTTGATTTTTTTATTCTGATCGAAGAAAGATCAGATGTCGATTTTGACATCATCATAGTTAGGATGAGCTTTCTTCTCTAGGAGATGGTTTGGAGAGGGGAGCAGAAGGGCATTATTTGGCACGAGGTCAGGGCTATAACGTGGATACAGAAGAACTCCCCGTCCTAGAGTCTCAAAATTTTTCTGAATTTTCTTAGCAAGAGGTGGTTCAACGGTGTCATACAAAAGCAAACTTTGCCTTGTTTTTCTTTCGTATTAAAAGCGTTGCATTCGAGCTGTGGATAGTTGACTTTCGCGTTGACTGCGACATCTACACGGAGGGGTTTCCAGAGCTTAACTCCTCCGTGTTCCACCAAAAATCCGAGAAGGCCCTACTTGGACGAGGTTGAACTTAAGCAATAAGATCTCCCGAAGCGTTTGAGCTGGACTACCGCCGCTTGTTCATTTGTTAGTAAACTGTACCCACTCTCATCTTCGGCAAATGTGATGGATGGTCAATCGTAGAATCCCTAGTAAGTCGACTTGAACATAACGGTGTCAGATCGTGTTTGGAGCTGAATCGGGCTCAAGGCACGTGGGGACCAAACTCTACATTTTCGGATCTTCACAAGTCTTTGGAGATGCCACAGTGCTGTCTCCTTGTCGCATCGGAATCGCTCTAGCAAATGATCGATACTCTATCCAGATCCCTTTTCAACGGCGTCAGATAGAGCATCGTGATTGTCAGTCACAGGGTGGTTGGAGTGTGGGTTATTTTCAAATAAAAAAAGTCAACGCTGAGCAGAGTGAAGCGCCGTTGCACTGTGGTTTGAGAGAGCTTGCCCTCGCCCTATCTTCTGGCCAATCCTTGGTCTAGCATGACTTGCGGAACATTCCAAGCAGTACTCGTAAAAATTAAGGGCACCGAGAGCCCTCTCGCGAAATCGGTGTAATATCCATAATAAGTAAGCAGACAACGAGCTGGACCGTTGGCTGAAATTGCAAAGGTTGATGCTACGTCAGGAAATATGTTGCGGATTTTCAGGAGTTCTCCCTAAAATTCTATAGCATTAAATGTAGTTTGTTGCAAGACTTATGGACCGACCTAATAAATATTTGGTATATTCAGTGAGTTGAGCTCGACTAGATAGAAGGAGTCCATTTGACTACAGCTTTGCTTGTTTAGAAATCCCTTGCCTATGGTCGGCCGCTTTATGCGTGAGCAAAAGCGCGCTGTTTGTGGTCCTCCTGGCAAGGGCTTATTCTCGCTATGGCCGGCCGGTCTATTTTGAAACGTCTGTGGCGAATAGTAATGTCTCTGCGACTAAGCCCTTGGGAGCCCAGCGACGCACAGAGCGCCGCTGCAGCGCGTTGTCCCCGCCCCAACTAAACCTAGCACCAACGACCCCGTGCGGTGTACAACATTTGGCGTTTCATGAAATGAACTAGCTTATCTTCGATGGCTGCTTAAACTCCACTCACCAGTGAACATGTATATGAAGAACCATATGGATTTGAAGAACCGTAGAAAACTGCCCGGAAACACTTCTTTCACAGTAGTGCTTATAAGTGCTCTAGAAAGGGGCAGCGAGGATGAAGGTCAAAAATATGTTACGCCTAGGTATTCGATATCGAAACCTATCATGAGCCAGGCTCAAGCACAACATTCGACAGGACGAACGTGAAGCTGTATGGTGTTACTCAAAGAGGGAATTCAGTTTGTGCAATTGTGACGGACTATTTTCCCCACTTTTATTTCCAGGTCAGCATAAGCTTTTATTAGTGTGAAGAGGTTTCAAAGCTGCCACGAAAATGTAGCTTTGATGTTCAGGCCTGCCCCTGAGCGTTTCGCTGTTGAACATTTGGATGTTGCTCAAAGGAATCTCAACAACGCAATTGCAACCTCTATGCGGCGAGCCAACTCCAACCTTCAAATGTCTTCTGTTGTTGTTGATAATTTGGTGCACTTGAGTATCGTCGAAGGAGAGAACATTTACTATTATAGAGGTAAGCTGACTTCTAATTTTTCATGGGAATTATGATCTTTGCTCTTCGTTCTTCTTTATTATAATTTGATTATATTATATTTCAGGTTCCGAAAAGAAGTACCCCTTCATTAAAGTATCTGGTTCCATTCTAGCATTGAACAAAGCTAAACAAGAATTGAAAACCGGTGGCATATCGTTTGGTTTAGGGCCGGTTCAGGTGAGCGCACTATCCAAAGGCAAATTCATTCAATTCAGCATCAATTCTTTGGTTTTTTTTTCATAGGTGGGCACACTATTCGAGGCTAACATTGATGCTGAGGTGAAGTTCATGGCTAGAACTGGTATTGTGGGCTGTGGATGGGTAGAAATTCCTGTGGGCAAAGGCACAATTCTTAACAAAAAAGCTCAAAGCTCAAGGTTCCTACATTGCTTCGTGTGTTCTGCGTATACTGCAGCAACTATATCTACGTGTTCTTTTTATTTAGGTGTCAATTAGAAGTTGAAGTAAAGCTGCAAGATTTGATAGTTCATGATCCCGAAGGCGAATGGGGTGCTGTCGCTCCTATACGGTAAAATAGTTATAGTTTTTTGTTCAACGTTTTACAATGCTTTTTTCTTCATATTCTAGTACCCTTTCGTTTGACATCGAATGTATGGGACGTCGAGGAGTTTTCCCCGATGCAAATGAGGACCCAGTTATCCAGATTGCTAATATGGTGAAGGTAAGTTTTCCCTCACTCGCCGTATTTTTTCTCATCTCTTGGTTGGTATAACCGCTTTCTTCAGTCCAGGCATGAAGGGTGTCTTAAATGTGATAACACCTACAGTTCCTGGAAATATGATTCGATTTCCACTTTCATCAAGCTTAACGCAATTTTCACATCAAAGCTTCAAGCTCTTTCGGTCACTCAGAAACATCTTTTATCACTTGTTCTGAATGCAATTGAGCTATTTGATATGCCTGAACCTTATCCTCTGAGCCACTGCTCCGGATTACGGACCGTAATTCAAAA